GTTTATATTGGCCTGTATAAATTACATGTACTGTAGGTGGCCTGTACTTGTACTTTTTGGAGATATTAATATGCATCAGTAATTCACTAGCTGTGCATAAGTGCAGGTTTAGTTACAGTGTTGACAAACATTATGATACTTATCTTTGAATTTGATACATTGTTTGTAGGCATGGAAAAGTCCTGTGGAAGTGATATATATTTGAACTAATTGAGGTTACATGTTTATGGTGTTCGCATTGTATGGAAGCATGCTTTTATAATCCTGTACCAAGCACATTCTGCAGTCTGGTGAATCACTATTGATGTCTAGTTGCATTGCAGTATCGATATCCAATTCCATACAAATTGTCCAGCACTGGGATTTGCCTGGTCCAGTGCACAGGGCATTGCGTTGGTTGAATTTGAAAGCTATTGATAGTACATGTACGCATACATACTTGTACATGTGCATGTACATGTGGTACACGGTAGGTGTGCTGTACAGTATATGTACATGTACATGTACGTGGAGGTGTAGCCTGCTTTTCATTGAGACCCAACAGACACAAATTCTGAGATTGGGGCGTTGGATTTTGTTCTGTTGGTATGGTTCAGTGACGTTGATAACTTTTCACAATAACTGCTACCTCCCTCAGTACTATGCGTTGGCATGTACATGTACATTGTGGTGGGTGTGGAGAATTTACCAGAGAACACAGGAATTTGGATTTCACACTTCATCAGTTAATGAACAGGCAGTTCAGCTGTGTACACATGTACATGTACATCACACAGATGGCCCAGCGGTGTGTTCTTGGATGTTAACATTGGCTAGAACAAGACCGGAAGTGTGAGACAGCAGATGCTCTGTGTCCTGAGATGCATGTACATGTACAGGTATACATGTACATGTACTCTTTTGACTTAGAGTGCTTGTTATGATCTTTAGCAAAGAAAGATCTGCGAAACCAAGAAAAACACATCATACCGGTGCAAGGTTCCTGTCGCATAAAGTTGCAGTTGGATGGAAATGGCTATAAAAGCATCTACACTCATCATGCTCCATGATAAGATGCAATATTCATCATCAAGTAATTTCTACAGTGAATTTCAGTGAATAATCCTTGTTCATGTGGTACAATTTGTCCTTGCAAAAGAAACATTGTTGTATGACCTCAGTCTTGGAATGGTTGGATATTGTGGATCAGTGTTACTGTTGGATCCTTGAGGTGAACAAGTGATTACCTACAGTTGTCCAAGGTGAGTTCGCATTCCTCAAACCTTGTTCTCAATAGTTTTCACAGGCAGCAGTCCCTTCAGAGCTTGGAATTTTTTAGCTCTGCAAAGAGTACAGAAGATTTCAACAAGTCAGCAGGACCCCAGATTCAGAGAGAAATTACAACTACATATGAAAAAACAAACACTTTATACTATATGATATAAAGACTCAGGACAGGCATAAACATTTGGATGAGTGGTAATGTAAACCTAGCCTTATCAGAGCTTGTGCAGAAATTGTCTTTTGATGGCTCATTGATACCAACAGATTGAGCTGGGTTTTTTGGAAAAAAACCCGAGAGATTCAGTTCCAAACTTCAATGATTATCAGTACATGTACGTGTACAGCCTGGAAGCTATAGGTTAATTTATAGGTTAAAAATTGGGAGAAAATCAACCTTTCTTTGGGCTGCAGAGAATAACTTCAACCTTCATCTTCATGAACTTAAGATTAATATGATCAATACATGTAATAAGAAATGCCTTCTTATTATTAACAATTGTATGTCAGCTATGCCAATCAGAAATAGTAGTTAGTAAGGTAGGTACATGTGTGTCACTACTTGGGGTGTTGTCAGTTTGGGACAGCGGACAAGGGGGCCCTATCATGTTCAGTGCTTTGTGTACACGTGTACATGAACGTGATCAGAGGCCAGGGCGGTCCTGTTCAAGTTGACCAGCAAAGTTTTCAGTCGTTTTCCACTGCAAGTTTGACTTGTTGGTTGGTACATGTACATGAGTATTATTTAGCTGTCATATACATGTATGTACTGTACATTGCAACTTAACATGACCAGAAAGAGCAGTTATTAGGAATTTACATGTACGCACAGGACTTTCCATTTGCCATTGTGATTTAATGTTTCAGAATTTCTGTGAATAAGAGTCGTGGAAGTGTACATATAGTAACATGGTTTGGATATGTGTAAAATCGTTAAGTTGCATTAAAAAGTGCATGAAAACCTTCCCATCAGCATCCAGCGGGTATGCAGATCATCCCCCCCCACAAAAATTCTGTAAACCCAACTTAATTCAGGCAATCTTTTAGACTTTGTTTTCCTCAGTAGCAAAAGAAGTAATGAGTTCAGTAACACATGATTGAAAGAGCTCCGTAATCTATCCAATGAGCCCAAAGTTCCCATAACATTAGCACAAATACGGTATGCCTGAGTGGGACCAAAAGTGGAGCTACATTACAATACAATGTACTTTATCATACGTTAACCACATGCTGCCGGGTGCTTTTAAAAATGCAGTGCACACATATGGGTAATTTTCAAGATTTTCAGTTTTCAAAATTCTTCAAAATTTGTCATTTCATTTAATGGACATTTACACCCACACGAATGACTGGTTGGTGGCTATTCTAAGCTGACAGATAACAATCATTGACTCCTGAATATTTTAGCCAGGCCTGCCGCCTTGTAAAGAGATACCAGAATTGTGAGGTGTTGCGTGATTTCCTTTGTTCCCAGTGAATGCGAGTGGCATCTTTTCAAGCGCGGCTGGATTAGCAAGCAGCGGTGCTGTGTCGCTCATTGATGGGGAGCTGGAGTACTTTTGTCCGCGGTGCTAATCCGCAAGCGCGCTATGTTCAAAACAGTGGGTATACTGTTTAAAAACAGTGATGGATTACCTTCGAAAAATGAAAGCCGAAAAAAGCAAGTGTATAAAAAGCATTCTTATTAATCCTCCATCACTAACTTGCTTTTTCTGGTCAGTGTTAGAACTTTATACTGAATATGCATGAAATTTTACAGGCAGCATACAAGATGCCTCTAAAAGTCTAATGATTGAGAATAGAATACACACTGTGTGCAATATGCTAATGCATGACTAGATCAATGGAATGTGGAGTATTCTAAGTTCAAGCATTTTGGCCCCCTGCGGTGTATGCACAGGTCAAAGGTCAAGACACTTGTAAGAGTATACATGTATGTACATTCATGTGTATGTACAGTGTACATGTACATATTGTGTTGTGCATTGCATGCTGAATAATAAATAGCCCTGGTTGCGGTCTGGAAGATCCTGTTGGCTGTCACTGGATCTTTTGGAGTTGTAAATCTGTAGATTTGACCAGGGATCATGCTCACAGTGTCAGGCAATTCATTTTTTTAATAAGGAATTCTAACTTATATGTACATGCACATTTGTCATTAAGATCCAAGGACCTTCTATAAAAGTGAAGTCCCTGATTTACTGTTATGACTTCTGTTAAGTTATCCACAGTCATGCTGTACCACTCAGCAATCTGCAAATTTTGCTTTGGTCTGTCTTCTGATTACTAGTGCCAGAGGAGTTTGATTCTGTTTGTGTTGTCAAGTGGTGATGAATGCCACACCTCTTGACCTTTTAACATATTTTTGGACAAGCTTGACTAAGGTCATATCAGTAACACATATTAGTACACTATCCATGATTGCTGAATATGCCTGTAAATGATCTACTCATACCCAGTGCTGGTCACATACATGGAGGTCTGGGCTTTACCAGTTTCTTCCCAGTTGGAGGGGCATTTGCATTTACAAGTACACGTACAGTATGTTGTACAACATTCGTGGCTGACATCCGTTTTTGACTGCTCTCAATAAACAGTGTCACTTGATAAATATTTGCTTTCCCTGACAAATGAGGGCCTTGATGTTGCCTTGATGTCATATTCATAAATACATGTGTGTGTGCATGTAGTGTACATGTACCTCGTCTTTCTATTCAACAACATGCAACTTTACCGTGTATTAATATTTGATAATGCCTGCCAAGATGCCTGCCAGATAAAAATTGATAATGGTACATGTGCACCAACTTTACTTTTGTAATAAACAAAGCAGACATGTGCCTTTGTTTTGACACACTGCAGTTGAGGATTGTGTAATTTATGACCAGCAGCAGTGAACAATAGAACATACTGTCCTTGGGTAGGTACATGGATATTGTACATGTAAATGTCAGTATCATGTGTGACCATATGCACCACTGTGTGACCGATTGTTAGTACTTCATTCACCATTCATCCCCAATGCTCCAATGTCCAAATTGTCATTCATTCTCAATCTTCCAAAATCCTCCAAAACTACCGGGAGGATTTTGGAAGATTGAGGTGGTTTAGGGCTCAGAAGTTCTGCAGGAGGTGCAAGTGTATCATTTGTGCCAGTAGTAATCCATTTTTTGTTGGTAGCAATTTATGAATTCCAAGTATTGTAGATCAACTGGTAACAACATACCACAGTAATTACATGAACTACATGTACCAGTCAAACTAAGAGACAACGGTACTATTCATATGTGTGCATGTTCATGCAGGTTCTACCGTTTTGAAAGCGTACATGTACATGTATGTATAGAATTACATGACACTTATGCAAATGGAAAGGTCCAAATCATGTATTGGTGGCGTTTCCTGTTACTTCAAATGCTCCTTAGCCTGATTTCTTCCTTTTTAGGTTGAAGAATATCCATATAAGGAATAGTGGGCTTGTTGTGATCATTTCCTCGAAGTTAGGGTCTATCCAGTTTTTTTTCCCATAAGGTGTCTGGCCCAGGATACAGTACATGCCATCTAGCTTGCTTGAGTCTAAGGCAAGGAAACAGTAACATTACAAAACAGTAAATGAACTGCCATAGACAACAGTGATAATTACTCCAACTTCAAATAATCAGGAAAGATACAGGTTTCTCAGATGTTCACTGCACCTCTTTCCTTTTCTTGTTCAATTTTTAGTGCGTTAACCAATGACTTTTGAAGATACATGTATTTCTATCCAGAGATTATCACTCCTAAAAATAGTTACAAACACTATTGTAAATGAAAATTGTCAACAACTGTCAAATTGAAAACCACAAGGCATTTTGTAGGGCCCATTTAGTTCAATTATAGAAATACAAACTGACAGTCCTATCACTCTTCATTTCAACCTAATGCCCCGTGACCTGTTTTGCTGTTATTTGCATCTGAAGTGAAATGCACTGCCATCACTTCTTCCATTTGTGCCTGTACTTTTCCTTCAACAGTAAAACTACGGTACAATGTACATGTACAATGTACATGTACCGGTATGTAGTTGACAATGTGTATGCTTTTCCATTGCGTGGGAACTAAACACGGCAAAATGAAAGTACAAAGAGCATGCATGTTGCATTGGGCCTTGGTGCTTTATGTGTGGTTGTTTTTTCACACTCCAAACTTGCAACTTGACAAGACACACTTTGCATAAAGTCTTGACTGTAGGAACTTTGTGTTTACAATAAAGTCGCTGAAAAATATATTTCTAAGTTCAGACCAACTGTCATTCTGTACTTATACCTGTATGTGTATCCTGTTCTACCTAAAGATGTCTTGTTTTGGTTTTGAAAACCTAGAGTGAGCTGTCTGTCGTTTTTTTTCCCCTTTGAGTTTTAGTGTCAACCTGGTTATTCTCATAACAGGTCAAAGAAACTTGAAAAATGATAAAAGAACCTTTACTTCTGTTACTTAGCAAAAATCATTCTTGTGTGTTTAAAATGACACAAATTTACATGTAAATTGCAAGAGTTAAAAAAGTTTAGAACAGATACATGTATATGTCTGTGAATGTACCCCCATTTGCAATGTAAACATCCTTATCTTCCTAGTAGATTCTCTGGTGGTGAAAACAATACGTAGCCTATCTACATGGACATTAAACATATATCATAATTTTACATGTACATTCAGAGAAGTATCAATTTACGCGTTGTCAAGTGTGCATTTAATGTAAACTTAAATCAAATACCAGAAAAACTAACTTGAAAAGTTTCGCTACAGGTTCATCCATTTCTGTGTACTGTATATCAAGGCCATGCACCATGGGTATGCATCTGTCGTACATGTACGTACATGTATGCGATGTCTATTCACAGTAAGCCGGGATTTCTGAGTCCAGACAGTGTTTGTTGTAATTTACAATGTAAACACATGCATGAATGGTAGGAGCACAAATTTAAAATGGTTGTCTGAGCCCAGTTTCGTGAGCAAGCGAGCAGAGAGAATATACTCAATATCAAATATTTTACTTGACCAGTTAATACAAAACATTGGGATGCATGACAGTTTGGCTCATAAGTTGCCATTTTTAAGCAAGTACATTTGCTGCCTAGCAAATTTCTGTGGTAAGCAGCTCTGTGAAAATTAGCAGTATCACACGTTAAATCACAAGTCTACTCACAATTCAAATAACAAGTCGTCATAAGTCTAATCACATACATGTATCTACATGTGTAGTTATAAGTCTAGTCACAAGTACAGCCTGAAGTCCAATCTTATGTACGTAAAACCAGTGTCAAGTCCAGTCGTAAGTGTTGTAAAAATTGGATGGGTAGTTACATGTACATGTAAAAAGAAAACTGCACTTTTATAAGAATGTTTAAAACTTATGTGCATGTAAATATTGTCAAATAGTTTAGCTAAATTGGCAATCAATATCTGCGTCAGAGTACAAAGTCATAAAGCTTTGTTATAAGGTTTACTCACCACGCATTCTCTCATGACCTGCGGTATTGCTTACTGCAACATGTACCTGTACAGTCCACGCAGGCCTCCTTTCAGTAACAAATACCAAAAAAGAGCAAAAACTAGAGGTTTTGTCTAATTTAAGGACAGAGCAAAAGGCTTCTTCGCATTTTTGTTTTTTCTTAAAGAAAAACAAGTTACAAAATATACAGGTGAAAAGATTTAATATCAAATACCGGTATCTACATCTTTGTGCGGCATAAAGTGTGTGGAAATTGATATCTTGCCTTTGTTCATTTCACATGAGTGTGTTCTGGCTAGCTGCAGAATAAAAAGAAAACAAATAGAGTTTGTGTCTGTTATGCACAGAATGTAAGGCTTTTTCCATTCTTTAAAAGCTTACATGTAACTTTTCACTGGGTTTGCTGTGAGGAAAAACATTTAAAATGTTAACAGTCAGTTAAAAATTAAAAATTCCATATTAAATTGCTTGATGACATCATCATGACACCATTGTAATGGATAATTAAAATCTTGAAGTACTAAATATTTGTTCTTAAGTTTCAAAATTATCTGTCTTGGAATAGTGCCAAAGAATTTCTTGCTGAAGAAAATAATAGAAACAAAAAAACAAACAGTGATAAAAGTCATCTCTGTTGACATCATTATTACGTCATTTCATACCTGTATTTGCAATTCAAAACATCTTTTTTCAAGAAGGTTGGATAATGTATAACTTGCACACGAAAAATTCACTATTTTGATGATTTCGTCATGATGTCACAAAATTTCCAAAAAAGGATGCTATCGACCGGTACCTTTTCTCTTAAAGGTCTTGCAAAAATCATTTTGAGAAAACCTTTTCTTACGGAATACAGTACACGGGGACAAAAAGCATGAAAAGAAAAAAACCGGTAATGTAATTCAGCAAAATAAAGTAATGATGTCATGACATAGGGTCAGTTTCATCCATAACACATACAACCTTCTGGCGGATGAACACCAAGTTACATGTACATCTTATTAAGCCGTCTGCAAGTTAACTTTGACCCAAATCTGGTACACTGAATTCTTTAAATTCACGTGAACATAACAACTTGAATTCTGCTTACTAAAACCACTGTTGCTGTACCTCGTGATTCAAGGCAAGCTTTTGCTTAGTTACATAAGAGATGATTTGCAACAATACACTGTTCTCAATGGATAGGAAGGGCATAAAGGAACCAGTCCATTCCAGAGATGGTGGTCGCTATGCAAAAGCTTGTCCCGAATCACGAGGTATAGCAACAGTGTCTTTAGTCTGGGGAATTCAAATTGTTATATTTATATGCAGTCAGATAACTCAGTGCTCCAGATTTTATTCAAATTTAACCCGCAAATGGCATATTGGACTTGTGCATTAGTTTAGGAGTTATTGACCTTCAAAAAATTGACCACCAATTGCTTGTTGTCTAACTTGTAATGATATTAATGGTCAGTGATCTCTTTAATCTCCTCCTTTTTCATCCTAAAATGCATGGGATTCAATATGAAGTCCTTTCTATTTCCTTCCTGCAGGTTGGAAGCAAATAGATTCCAGTACTCCATTAGGCAGGGTGTGGATCAGTGAAGACACAACTTGCTTTCATCGTTTGGTGTGGCCAACATGCCGATCCCAGTTGGAGCAAGAAACCACTACAGAGACCAACCTGTTAATCCTAATGGTGCTGCATACAAGTGAGTTCTCCCAGATAATTATAATTTTAAACTGGAGCAAATTCCAACTACATGTACCCTACATGTCAAATTTTATGTGAACCAATATTTGATTATGGGTAACTTAATTTTGCATTTCCCGTTAATTCTGAGGGCCATGATAATAACAGGTTCAGCATACAAATCACAGGTGGCTTATAAACAAGGATGTAAAGTGAGTAGGGTCAAAAATAACATATGGATTACATAATATGTAATAAATATTTGGCCTCTGGGATTATTTCTGTTCAGCTTATTCTGTCCAAATTCAGTTTCACAACGTGGTCTGTTAACTTCGTACATGTACATGTAGATAGTGCAGCTCATTCTGTGGAATGTTTCATTACTGGTCTCTTTCATTCATGAAAGCAAAGCTGTAGCAGGCAGAAGAGATTTGTTTTCTTAAATTTCAAGTAATGGCATAAACCTCTTCAGCCAATCATTGCCAACTGTTGGATGTAAGGCTGCATCTGAATCTGGCATTATTGCGTGACATTACACAACACACTTATTTGCGGGCTCCAACTTTCCAGTTCATTTGAATTTGTCTTGTTGCCACGTTGTTGTATTTTCATGTATACTCCCTGGATTGTGTGTAAAATGAAAGGGAGAGAGGAGGGGAAAAAGAAGTTCAGCCAACTTTTATTTTAGTCAATCGCTGCCAGTTGAGATTGAAGTACGTGATGATTGATGTACTGGTACATTTGGTTAAAAACTCCTGGAAATCTGTGACATGGTTCTTATTTCACTCTTTTCTTTTTTCAGTGGCATGAACGGAATGGAAAGACAGAGCATTAGTAATGGTTACGGACCCGGACAATCCCTCTACAGAAACTCAAATGGTCCTGGCCGATCTAGTGGTAAGATTACATGCATGTTGTGATACATGTACATGGACATACACTATATGCATGCATGCTGTGATATGCATGCATGCGAACCCAAACTAACCCACATGTGCCAAACCCATAGGCTGGTTTTGCATGGCTACTGTACATTGTATTTTCTGCGCAGCCCTGCAACTGTTACCAAGGCTTCAGGTTTTGTTTGTGCTGTGAAAAAAAATGACATAGGAGGTTGATACCAATGGTGCTGTACATGTAGATTGTGGGAATGAGGAAGTATGCAGTTACAATACCCTGAGAGTTAGTCAACCCTTTGATTGCACTGTGTGTGAATAGGGAACAAAACTTCAAAGAGTTATTATTCAGCATACCAAATGAAAGGACTTTTCCTGGGATCGTCTTTCTGACAGTGGTATGAAATGACTTCTGGAGACTACATGTACATGTATGTTGTTGATATATCTAGTTTAGTGTTCAAGAAGGAGACAGATGCACCAAGGGATTGCTTCAGTCACTATGAAGTATTGTACACAGTATTGGCAGAGTTATTGGTACATTTCATGTGCATGCATTGGGCATAAGATGAACTGGTATATCCTGACTCTGCTGCTGCTATCACTTGGGACCTTTCCATGTCTTTCTTGGTAGACTTTATATACCAGTGTCGTGTTAGTATGGAGTGCTTGTCATTTCAAATAAAACAAGTTTTGTCTCTTGCCAGTCCACAATGACACGCAAAATGAACACGCCGAAGAGAAATGTGCATATGTGTACATGTATGTACCAGTACATTGTATGTGAAGCTGAATTTGTTTGGTTATTGATGCACTTGTGTGAGGAGTAGCAATCCTCCATTAAAAACCCTCTTGCCTGCAACTTGTGCCAATGCACGTACGTGTACATCCAGGCTCATGTTGTCAAACATACCGGTACCTTTAATCGTTGTTCATTTGCTGAACTTTTTAATAATGCAATGGATTATTAACTTTCAGTACATGTTCATCCTGTCAACTGTGAACCATTCACCTCAACATACACTATCTGTATGCATATTCTTTATTATTCATTTATGTATATACCTGAACAAGAGTAAGTATAAGCACAAACATGCATTGTTTGCAAATTCCTTATGAAGGACATTTTAGATGTAGATGTGTTGGCACATGTACAGAAGCTGTAGCTGATGTTAGTGCAATTGTCTGACATACAATGTACATGTACTGTATATTGGCTTTGGAAGAAAATTGGAAGGTGTGCATGCAAGAAGTCAGTTCTCAAGAGGTAACACTGTACAGTGGCTTGCCAGTGGAACAGCTGAGGCCACTTTCTAACTTCACTGCAAATATGGTGTAACAAAATTTTGTTATAATTATATATAATGGGTTTTGAAAAATTTTGTTGTGAAATAAAGTTTCCTTTCTGTGTGTGTGTTTGTCCTGGGTATTGTAACATCTCTCTCAGGGTGGAGAACAGTTATCAACAATAATGATACCGTAGAGAGTGGTTGGATTGACTTACACACACCACTGATTTATTCTGAAGATATATACATATTTACAGTGAACAACTCTTGCTAGTGAGGCTGTATATTACTGTAGGGATGTTCATCATAGGAACAATAATCAGGGTAAAGCTCATCCAAATCTAAGTTGTTTATTTGGGAGTGACAGACAGGTTATCATGGCACAGCTACTGTATATGCTCATGAACGGTCAAGGAGTTGTACCGATAACTCCATAACTTGCTGCTTGAGAATGATCGATGCTGACCAGCTGATCTGCTGGTTGCTTTATATAGACTTTCAGGGTTGCGTCTTAGCCAATGAGAGTGCTGGATTCGGATGGTTATAAATAATTCATGCATATACACCTGGTCTCACTGACTTGGTTTCTGGAGAGCAGTAAAGTCTGGGAAGTATGGGAGCGGGATGGTGAAAGGTTGCTCGTACACACAGACATGTACATGTATGTAGGTGTGCTATGGGGGGACTCGGTCAACGAGGGAAAGGGAAGGGTGAGCCTTTCTTGGTACTTTGTGTCGTGTACAACACTTAGTCTCCGGATTGCTACGAAATCTACACACAATTCTTATGGGATGAAACTGTGGGTGAGCGGAGGTAATTGTCCTTGCTGTACTGTGACCGCACACAGGCTTTCAGTGTGTGGTTTGGCGAGACATGTACATGTACGGTTTGCTATGAAGTGGGGTCTGTGTGGGTCAAATGTACAGGTAAAATGTGTGACTGAAATTAGGATCAACTGGCGAAAGATTTGGGAGAAAATGGCCGAGCTGGAAATGTGCTACGGAGTAACGGTTCAAACACATATCACAGCATAGTGCAGCCACCTTGCACGTGGTATGGAATGCGCTGTATGTACATGTTCATGTAATGCGGATGGTAGTCATTGCACACTTGCTGTGGGCTGAGTGCGCGATGCATAATGGCAGCAATAATTATGTACATCTAAATGTATCTGGGGGAACAGTTTGTAGGAAAGTAACAATACGAACCAGCCTTCTACCACTTGCTGCTGGGGAACCCTGTTTCGAGCACCATGGATTTCTACGCAGAACCAGGGTGCCTGAAATGGGACAAACAAGCTGGTCTGTGTAACAAAAGACCGTACTCAGAACAAAAGACCTGCTGCTGGGAATTGCCATCATTTTTCGGCTTCCAATTTTTTGAAGGTACATAATGCGTCACTGTTTTTAAACAGTATACCACTGTTTTGAGAAAAGTGCACCTGCGGATTACCACCACAGACAAAAGTGCTTCAGGGCCCCATTAATGAGCGACACAGCACTGCTGCATGCTGATCCAGCCGTGTTTGAAAAGATGTCACTCGCATTCACTGGGGACAAAGCAACACCTCACAATTCTGGGCTCTCTTTACTGGTTGGCAGGCCTGACTGAAATACTCAGGAGTCAATGAAGGTTGCCTGTCAGCTTAGAGTAGCCACCAAACAGTCATTCATGTGGGTGTAAACGTCCATTAAATGAAATGGTGAATTTTTGAAGAATTTTGAAAACTGAAAATCTGGAAAATCTCCTCTATGTGTGCACTGCATTTTCAAAAGCACCCAGCAGCAAGTGGTTAATCATATGCCGGTTCAACAATTAACCATGTTTCTCCTTCCAGGTCAGTACAGCTCAGGGTATGGTGACCCACGGGATGACCCCAGGATAGCTGGCCACAGACCCTCCCAGGCAGAACCACAGAGACCCATACAACAAGAACCCAATCATCCCATCTACAGAAACCCACTAGTTAGGAGGTCAGTGGAGGAGAGACCAGAGCCACAAAGGGAGCTACACAGGGAAGGGAGCAGGGAGGGACAGAGAGACAGGGACAGAGTGCAGTCCCAACCCCTCATGGAAGCTGAACGGAACCCACAGATAGATGTCTATGTGCAGCAAGGACGCTTCCCAATTGAGGTACATACAGCAATATTGAGAGAAGTTGAAATATATTAAGTTCTGCTGTTAATTCATAAAGTTGTATTTACATTTGTCTTAAGTTGTGTTTCCACCTGTTATGAACCAGCTGTGTACCGGTACAGACTTGTACACACACTCTAGAAATGAAGATGGTGGTGCTGTCTTGTGTCTCTATTCCATTGACCTTGAAGAAGCTGCAGAAAGTACTTGTATATGCCAAAAATGCTCTTCCATAAATGTTCTCAAAACGGGTGATTTTGTATCTTGACACCAACTTCTGTTCTTCACAGTAACCTTTGTCATCACTGTCATGCGTGAAACATTCTTGCAAATTGCTGTGCTTTGCCCTTATCTCCTCTTGGATGGATCATCGTGGGATTTATGAATGGTTCCTACAACAAAACACTCTGTCTTGTTATATATAGATTGAAACTTTGCTGATGTACTTAACATGGACAAATTGTTGTGTAGTGAACATGTATGTACAGTACATGGAGACAGTGTTACAGTAGGTTTGTACTTAAACGTGGTGTACACCATTGGTTTCTGGTCATAATTTCACAAGATTGGCTGATGACAATGTATAATATTCACTGCACCTTACATTCCACCGACTTGTTTCATGTTTGTTTGAATCAACTGCTTTGTGAAAAATTAAAAAACAACGTAGCATTTTCAACGCTTAAATTGAATGTCTTGAAGTTATCTTGAGTAAAATCTATAGATTATAGGGCATAAGTAATATAAGCGAACAACATCCAGAGGGTCAGGGTCAGCAGTTTTCTATGACTAGGAGTAATTACTGAATTTACCTTGGAGTAATGTGCCTCGTTGACAATGTAGCATTGCGGATTCATGGAAAAACGTTATCCAGGAACAAAGCAGTTGACTCGTGTCCATGACATTGAAACGAGTGGACCTGTATGATGATACACGTGCGCGCACGATCGAGCTTACAACGGCACTTTCATGTCAGTGCACACGTCGCTGAAAGTCTAAAACACCATTCATACATGTAGTTGAGTCATTTATAATTGTAAGTAAAAAAGAATTATGTCTTAAAACAAGGAAGGATTAACATGTGGAAATCGTACTTTTTGTTGACGAAAATCATCATGCTCGGAAACAGCCGCCATATTGGATCCTACCATTATTATCTACATGTAGGTATATTTTTTGAATTCGCAAAGTTTACTCGTGAAAAAACCCTTTCCTTAAATAAAATTCAACTTCATGCTGATCCAATTTATTTTCTACTTTACACCTAACACTTAAATTTCTATATTTTCAGTTCACTGTGCTTTTGGTGAAAGATGTCAGTTTATTTTTAGCTACTTTTAGGTTTATCTGTTCATTAATGGAGACTCCCACAGCATCTCAAACACTACATGTAAGAAAATTGGTGCCTGTTAGAGCATGTGATGTACGAAGTGAAATTAACTCTATTACATGGTCGGCCGACCATCATAAAAAAGGAGGTCAAAATTTTTGTTTTCTCGAAAACTACAGCATTCTGGATGGAAATATTTGACAGACTGATTGAGACTGTTGTGTACTTTCTTTCAAGTAAGATACGGTATTTCAGGATTATACGGTAGTCTGATTTTCCGGGATTTTACCAATGGTGCACACCACCTTTAACACACAAACACACACACTATAAAATGGTACTAAGTGAATCTTGACCTCTGCTGTCTTTACATCATAACCTGCGTCATTGTCATAATGAACATACAATCTAGTGAATGGCAAAATTTAATGCCAGATAGCAAACAATGTAAACTTTTGTCTCATGTCATAATGAACGTACAATCTAGTGAATGGCAAAATTTAATGCCGGATGGCAAATAATGTAAACTTTTTGTCTCATGGATGGACTATTGTGGGACTTACAATGTATAAATAACACAGACAATAAAACTCCTTTTCCACTTACAGTAATTTGAAACCATGTTGACGTACTTTTAATTGCATAAATATCTAGTTGTGCACGCCAAAGCGCAGAAAGGTCTGTGAGCCACACAGTTGAGGCCTGAAAGCCAGGGCTTTTTGTTCTTGTAATAAGCGTGATAATAATTTTGTACTCACTTGTTGCAAAAAGAACCAAAAGAAAGACAATTTAAAATACAGCAATTAAAACAGGAGTGTTTTTAAACCTTTATGGTATGAGGGAAATTCACATTTTTAAAGCAATTAACATGTACATTTATAATTGTATATGCCTTTGAGCAGAAAACTTCAGTTCCTGTTCTCGTACCGGGAGGTGACCCACAAGTGACATCTGGCATGTTCTTCCATACTGGAATCTTTCCCCTTCTTGGCTATAAGTTGAAAAGAAACGTGCTATTTTAGGGTTGAAGGTGTGGTTCAAAGATTACTTTTTTCTCTTTTCAATTTTTCACATTGTCAAATCAGCATTTGTGCACAGTCACTATGGATCGTAAGGAAGGCCTGATTTCTGTGGAGGATGTAATCCGAAAGGTGCAGAAGCTGGATGCCAAGGGACAGATCTGGTCGCAGTTTGTGGAGCTCACCATTGCAGACAGGGATGTCAAATTCATTGATGCTGCAACAAGGGTAAGTGAAACCTACATATAGGACAACAAACCACAAATATCGTGGGTTATTCAACAGCTTGTCTATTGTTCCTTTGTACATAGAACGTCTTCAGGATGAGGTGTTACCTCTGATCAGCTGAGTTCCTCACATTTTACGCTCCTTGCCTGCCATTCTAACACCAGAGACAAGACTTTTGTTATTCTGGCTTTCCAGTTGCATGCCTTCATCTTTTGTTTCTAATCTTTTTTGTACAGATCTACCGGTATTAAACGAACTAAAACTACCAAATACATGTACATGTATGCAGCAAACATCCATTCAAGAGAAGACTGCATTTCTCTGGATGATGGTGTTTGCTGTGTGTGCTTACACGTGTGGCGATCTTGGCACCAGTTTTCATTATTTGGTTCCCCTTTTTTCTTCAAATCAGGGAGAGTTGGAGGTTTTCCCCATGAATGATGTCAGTCTGGTCTCAGCTGAGTTGAACCAGTGTAACTATGATAGTCTGCTGATTATTCAGATCAAGTTCAGCGGTGAAAAGCACCCACAGAGTTATGTCTTTCAGTGTGACCAGGTCCCGGTAAGACAATCTACTTCAAAGACAAACGTTAAGTTCTCTTTGTCTGTGTTACTGGTGGCCTTTTCAGTGTGACAAAGTTCACAAGTGAGATGTCTTTCATAATTCCTCCAGTCTCTAGTCAGGCTACTGGCTATTCAAATGACCTGTGGCAACCCACTGACCCTTGACTTGTGATTTGATTGGTCACTGACCACATCTCTGGCCTTTCTATGATACAAACCAGTTAGATGTATTGATTTCTGTGAGAGAAGCATTCTGAGTCAGTACATGTAATACATATCCAGCAGGGGTAAGATTAGTAAGGATTTCTCTTGATTTCAGGATTTTTTATCAGGATTTTCCAGATTTGAGTTTTTTAAACAAGTTCATTTTAAAAAGTCCTTTGTATATTGACTGGGCATGGATGAATTCTTTTTCAGTATCAAGTGTTAGTTGTGAGCAGTGTACTCTAATTCATTCAGCTGTTTTTGTTGATGAAATCATTTAGGCTGAGGTCATTGCTAAGGAGCTTCAGAAGAACATTGACTATGCTCATGGTAGACGAAAGAGGACAACAAGGTACTTCAGTTACCTAGGAATATAATGTGCATTTCTTATAGGTAGTAGGTTTTTCAAACCTTTTAAATGCATTTTAAGTTAAATGACTGCAGATTTATGTTGAGACTTGCCTTATAAATCATCTTGTAAGTCATCTTCATCAAACACTTGCATTAAGAAACTTTTAGCATTCATTAAAGAATGGAGATTATTTTGATGTCTAGTTACACACCTATGAATACATCTGTTGGACATGTCTTAGCATATTTCTTCTAGCGTTAGGCATACGACTTTTCAACTAATTTATTATTTTATTTATTTCTAATGTATGTGTGCCATTACAGCATGAGAAATTCCACACTTAAGGTTCTTATGTAGGTTTAAATTCCTTCTTTCCTAACTTTTGAATCGCATGCACATATGTATTTTTCTCATTTCATTAAGCAAAATGTTAGATATCAAGGACCGAGTCAGCTGACTCTTAAAGATACGCTGAACTGATTTTTCAGGTGGCCCCTGTGCAAAATCTATTGACACTTACTGAATTTGGAGTAAATAAATAATGCTGCCTCCCCCCCCCCCCGCAAGCGGATTATGTACACGGGTCCTTTGCATCTCCATTGTGTGAAAGATTAACCTGATGGTAATATGATAGCCATGAGCTCACAAGTTTGTTTAAGACGTTAGCATTGGTTTGCACAAATGTTTATATTTCATGGACCAGTATGGTTTTGATCCAGGTTCCATTCTGTTAATTCCACTGACTAAAGGGCAGAAAAAGAACTTGAGAAAGGAATTGAGGCCACTGAAATCAAAAGCTCAATATTATAGGCTTGAACAGATCAGAGAAGGCTTTAGTAACTAAAGCATCTACTTATATTTATCTGCTTCAGCATCTATTGAAAAGTTCCTCTACAGTTGCATGCATCATTATGTCCATTCTATTGAAACTGAATAAATGATCACTGAAATGGATTTAATAGGGACTGTATTGTGAATTGAGGCACCTGGGGGCTTGTAGTCCATTTTGCTGTGACAGAGCATATCCCAAGGGTACATTTCCTCACACGTGTATCTGTTTCAAAAGTTGTCTTGCCTTGGTGCAGGGTTTCCTCTAGAGGGTTGTGTGGGTGCCTTTCAGACACTCTGTTGATTATGTTGGCTGCTTCATATCCAAGCATGCGACTTTTCAGTGTTTTGTCTGAAGATAATTGTGCATACAGTAATGAAATGGTCAATATAGAATTAACACAAAAACCTGATACCTTGTTGAATCAGGTTTTTACCAGATTTCCTGTCATCTCTGTATTATAACCTGCAAGTACTGTACAATGTACATGTATGCATGTAAAAGCACAAACACACTGCAACCCTGTCACCCCTGAGGTTCAGTGAAAAGTAAATGTCTTTTTATGTAGCAACTAAACCCCTGCCTTTGCTCTGTCCCCTTTTGCAGACCAGAGACACGACCTGATCACAGACATGCCTCCAACTATCAAGATCGTCAGATGTATATCCCACCCCCACCAGATGAGCCAGCTCCACTCCCGCCCACAGAGGGGAATGTGCGTAATAAGGTGGCAGCCTTTGCAGCTGCTGCAGCTATGGCTCAGGGTTAGTAAGCAAAGTTTAAACCCTGAGTGTTGCTATTGTCTACCAATCCTGTTCAAACCAAGGTAGCTGTGCAATGGAAATTACTTGGATGTGGCTGCTGATAACACACGTCTGTTGGAAGTGTTCAAGTTATTCTCAATATGGCTAAGCAATTCAGACCCAACTCAAGCACCCAACAAGGCAGATGCTGTACCACTGATTTGCATTGATTTTCTCTAAACACAGAGCATTGTGTTAAGGTTGGTTTCCAAGTTTGTGATGACGTAAGGTACAGTTCCTGTATGGACACCAGTTTGTGCATGATACAATTAAGCAAATGCAAATTATCATTCGTGTTTCTTAATTCTGTACAAGCAGTCTGGATTCAGTTATGAGGGCACCACTTTCCAGTAATACCAGTTTCTTTCCACATGTATTTGAGGGAAATAGGAGGATGGGTAATGATGTGTAATCAGGATGCTGGCAGCCAACTCTCCCTTACTTGCTGTTCCAGAAATAGAAATGGGTAGCTGGATGAGCTTGGAGTGGGGGGAGAGATCTATCTGTGAGAGATTAGCATGTTAGGAGGGGGACCGGGGTGTACTTGTTTGCTTCAGGTGGAGAAATGACAGATTAGCATCAGCCCAATGAGCCATATTGACCTCAAGACAGATTTGAAGTCACCCTTTCAATCTCATTAACCATAGCCCTGTTGTGTTGCATGTAATCGGTTGTAAGTGACCATTTTATCAACTTTATTAAAATTCCAGCAAGTGGAAATAACGTTAATAGGGGCTTCCAGTATCCCAAGTCTACACCAATGCGCAACTCAGAGAGCGACGAACCCTTGGAGCTGATTGCCATGAGGACCGAGAGGGATGTGGTGAGTAGACGGTCTCTCTTGTGTCTTGCATGATTATGACTGACACAGTAAGGTCCTAGTAATGCTCCACAATGGTTCCAAGTGTGGGGCCAGCAATGTACATTAAGCAGAAACTGTAAAGGGTGTGTGAGCCTTTCACATGAACACTTCAGGTTTATTTCCATACTAAATAAAAGTTTGATAATATGGAAGTTAACAAAACTAAATTTCTAAAAGTATGTTGGAGGTAAGACAAAAAGCTGAGGCTTGCACTGGGTCTACCCTGAAGGGCGAATTCATGTAATTTGCACAATTTGTAGGGAAAAAATATTAGTAGTGTAGAGGTGTGAAGGTCCTCATCACTTCAATTTGATAAAGTAATATGTAAAGAATAACCATCCTAATCCCTAGTTTGCAACTCTAGTTATAACTTTGTATGACATAATTGTCAGTCATATTGTGCCCTTAATTGTCATTGTCTGCCACAGAGTGCTAGGTTTGTATAGTACCTTCTACATGTTACGTGACGTTAGAGGACAAGTTGACCTAATTTGGTTCAAAAGGAGGAGTCCCTGGTATCAAATAGTTGAGAGGTGTAGAAATGTTCCAGTTTTATTGAGATAGAGCTTATTTGATGACGTAGTGTTTTAATTTTGGATTACTGTGATCCTAGCAAAAAGAGATTTCATACTCAAAGGTTGTGTGTTTCTTTTAAACTTACACATTAAATTACATAAATGATATTTATGAAGACCGTTTATAGATAAGGTGTGGAATTTAACAAATAATGGGGTTGAGTAACCTTTTTCATTAGAACCATGAATCAGCCTTATAGATTTCTTCTGAATCACAAACAATTTGTCCAGTATAGTATACTGTATTGAAGATGAGGCAAAGGTAAAGTGTTTTAATCGAAATGAGAATACGAGAGGAGACAAAATGGCTGAGTTTTCTGAGAACAGCAAGATGTTGAGAAATAAGTTTTAGAACTTTCAGGCAATGAAGTTTTTCATGTTAACTTGTCATCAATAATGATACCTAGGAATTTACCGGAATCTACACTTTCACTAAGGTTATCTTGAAAACGAATCCTTGTGTGTTTGTCAACATTTTGATTAGTTTTGTTTACCAAAGGCCATTCTGGCGCTAATACAGTGTATGACTTTCATGAAAACAGGATGCATATATGAAAGTGCATAATTGCCATATTGCTGTTGTAAAAATTGGTAAGAACGCATACTCAGGCGGACAGATGTCAACTTGAAGAGCTTGCTTGTGTATGAGATCTTGACTCAGGTACCACTTACCCACTACGTTTTCCTCATTGCTTCTTTGCAGGAAATTCTGAACCACTGTTTTGATGAGATAGAGGCCTTCATTGGCCTACTGCAGAAAGCTGCTGAGGCCTATACAGAGCTGGTGCGTCGCCGTAAAGCACGCAAGAGCAAAAAACGAGAACCTGGGGATGGTTTGCTACTGGCTCGCTCTCGCCCACCACCAGAATCTGAGTACATCGAGTGCTTCAAAAAGTTCAAATATTGCTTCAATTTGCTGGTAAGTTTCTAGTGTAAGAAAATATCAACTAATATACATGCATTTTCAATTCAAATGCTTCTTGCAAGCAAGTTTCTGTTGTGATTGAAGCAGCAGCATTAGATCCATGCATTCCACCTGTCATTGAGTTTCTTTGATGAAAGAAGAAATGGTTGTGGATAAAAATGTATCTTAGTTCAGGGCTGAAGAATCACATCCACTGCTTCCCACGTTTTGATCCACTTTATCTTGAAGCTGATCAAACTAGAGAGTAAATTTCGCTTACTGTTGTACAAATTGCCATTCCCTTTCTTTCCACACAGGCCAGTCAGGCTCAAAAACCATCCATGACTTTAATGCATCCAAATTAATCCACCTCTCTTTGAAGCTTACATCAATTAAATGCTGTCTACTTGTTTTCCTACACAGGCCAGGCTTAAGAACCACATCCACGACCCCAATGCACCCGAGTTGATCCACTTCCTCATGGTGCCCCTGGAGCTGATCATCAAGAGTTGCCAGGGCACTGACCTGGCTGCCAACATTGTCTCTCCTCTCTTGACCCCTCAGTCTGTTGACCTCTTGACTAACTGCTTGACCTCTCGTGAGACTGACTTATGGAAATCATTGGGTCGGGCTTGGAATGTGCCCTCGTAAGTTGGTTTTTGATTGCTTCTGTGTTTTGGGGAGGGAAAGGTTAGAATGCCAGCATCAAGCTGTATACTGATCAAGGAGAATGCTACCTTCTCCTGATGAGCAGGGTTTAGATTTGTAGACGGTCATTTCTTCAACTATATTGAGTTACATAGTCTCTTTATAAATTTGACATTTCTGTAGTTTGATTTCAATTTCTTGTGATGCATAAAATTTATCAGTAAATTTGTTGTTTTGTGAATTTTAAGTTTAATATGTGGTGTAACTTAGTTGTTGGATGACTATGTAAGTTCACAGTGTAGAAATGTACCCTAGCAAGCAATGTTAGAGTGTTGAAAGGGCTAACATTTAAGACCATTCCGGAGAGATTACAATACAGAAACAAATATTGTCTTAACTACAGGTATTTAAGTGGTGATGTATTCAGCTCTGTCCATCATGTGATATGTGATCCATTGCCTTTCTTCTTCCCAAAACTTTGACAAGCCAGGTCTTAGCTAATAAATTGTATCCATTTATGTAATGCAGGACAGAGTGGCCTAAAGAGCGACCGGTTCCCCGCTACACACCATATTTCCATGATGGCTGGTCACCACCACCACTGCCTGATCATCCGAGCCTGGAAGTCAATGCTGCAGTTGCTGCCAGTGCAGCTGCTGTTGCCCGTGGTGAACACAGGGACCGTGTTCCAAGTGTACGTATCTTGTGACTGTTTTTTCTGTGTGTTTTATGAACTGGTTAACCTGTTTGTGACATCCAACTTTGCCCCTTTTCCAAAAGCATCCAAAAGTAGATAATTGCAACATTTGACAATTCCTTTTCTCCAGGTTTTTTTTCACAGTTCAAAGTGATCCAAAGTTAAATTCTGCCTGCAGAAAGCTTGGCAAAATGGGAATGACACTTGTGGAACTTACATAAACAATGCAAGGTCCATTACGTCAGGGATAGGAAGGTACCTACTTCGGTCTAGTTTGGGCATTTGGGTCACAAATGATGGAACTATCTTTCTTTTGATAAGTGATGTAAACTAGTTTTTGCTCTAGTCAAAACTTGTGGGGAGACTGTGTCTCTAGTAAATGATCAATTTTCCACTTAACTTGCTAAAAACCTAGTGTAAAGCACAGTGGAGCAGTATTTACCAAAAAGATATACCCAATTGATGGCGACCAGTGAGAGGGATTTCTCAAGTTCTTGTTATCCTGACTGACCTCTCTTGATGAGTGATATTACAATGAAATTGGAGGATTCAGAGCAGTTAATTACAAGTTTGAGACCTGATATGCTACAGTGTTTGGTAATGGATTTTGCCTCAAAGAGTATTTAAGCTGGACAGGTGTTTATATTGCCACCTGTTGAACTTTCTGCTGTAATCTTCCAAGGTGCACAAAAAGTATCATCGCAGTAATGTAGCAGTGCGTTTTCTGTCACAAAATTGGAATGGCACAGGTTGTGTAGAGTTAGACTAGCTTGGTATCACTGTGTAAAACCCACCACGTTATGGGAAAACTTGGTTTTTGATCAACTTTGGAATGTATTGTCAACTTGTTCTGTTCCTCAAATCGCAGGGGTCTGATTATTCAGATGGCGTTTACAATGGTAACAAGCGCAACAGCAACAGTAGCAGTGTGTCAGATCAGCTACGTCCAAGCACCTCAAGGTACAGAGTAATCCTTACTGCCATGCAACCTACTTCAACTTCATGAAAAATTTAAGCGAAGGGGAAAACAAAAAAGGAGAAGGTTTGGTGTTCTTGATTACCATGGCTTTCAAAGTTCCATGCATTTGTTCACTCCCATGAGGTATCACAAGTAGAAAATGTCATTTCCAAAACACCAGGCTGATGTAGGCTGCTGGATATATCATGTAGTTGGCCTGACTGGCAGACAGCTTGTACATAAAATCAAAATACCATAATTCCCCAGTGCTTATAAACACAAATCAATCAATTTGTCGGGTTCACCACGAAGTGATTCTTAGGACAGTTTTGGTGCAACACGAAGTGACGTACCATCCAAAGACTTTGTACCAAGGATAAGTCACTGAAACCATCGAATTGTTCAAAATTGTTGACTCGGCCATTACACCAATTCGTCTAATTCCACACACTGCCGTCTGTGGGGATATTGAGTAGATGCAAGCGGGGGGCTACTGTCATTGACATTACTTCTTTTTCCTTTACAGGAGTCAAGACAATCCACCTGTAGTCTTTCCCAAACCCCAAGTCAACACTCCCCTTCCCCCAGGGGTCAAGGGCTTTGTCAAACCTCTCTTTGACTTTGTGGCTCGCAATGTTAAGGAATTGACCATCATGTCGGGTGAAAAACTAGAGGTAAATGATGCAAACTGCTGTTGCATAAGCTCACTACAAGAATTCTTTATTTCTAACTGCAGACTGTCCACAACTCCACAGAATATGTCAACTACTCAACTCACCTCCAACTTCTCTGCAACTTCCAGCTTATCATACCAATGAAGATTTAAAACTCTTCAAGAAATATTTACCAGTCATATTCCGTTTCCATTTTTTTAAGTATAATTACAAATTGCTGAATTTTCATGACTGTGTCAAATTTTCAGCTGTTACAGGATAAATGCAAGTGTTGGAAAACAGATTTGGCATCTTAAGAAAGCAACGACCATGTACTCATTTTGAATATTGGTTCAGCTTCGGGAAAAATTGTACAAATTGTGGAGAGTTCAGCTTGCTTTCATGAAATGAAGTGACCATAAGCTTGTTTGTTTTATGCCAACCCCTTAGGGATACATACATGTACACATGTACAAGAGTTGAAAAGTCAGTTACTGCCCTGTACATTAAATGCTCACTTAATTGCAATGTTTTTATGATGTAGCTCTTGGAGGATAATCGGAAGTGGTGGAAGGTGCGTAACTCATCTGGTCAGTATGGTTATGTGCCCTCTACCATCCTGACTGCCATCACCCCAAACCAACAACAGCAACAGCAGCAGCAGCAACAGCCGGCCCGTAATCCAAACTTCAACTCAAACCACCATGCCCCTTCTCCTCAGTCCCCACCCACACCCCCGCTCCTGGGTGCCTCTACTTCCTTTGACCAATCTTTCAACAGCAGCAACTCCATGCAACAGAGGGCATTGAACCAGGTAGGCTTAGTTGGACAGGTAGTTCTGTTACTGTTCAAGATAATGCTACTATAGTTCAAAGACATAGATTGAAAATCCAATTGAGATCTAGCCTTAGAATCACTGAAGCAGCTTGGGCTGTGTTTAATTAGCAATCATGGGCTGATTTTATCTGAAAGTCTATGCATCTGTCCTTGGTACCAGGTAGAATCGGCCAATGGTTACCTTACAGTGGTTAGTTGAATTCCTTGGTACCAGGTAGAATCGGCCAATGGTTGCCTTACAGTGGTTAGATGAATTCCTTGGTACCAGGTAGAATCGGCCAATGGTTGCCTTACAGTGGTTAGATGAATTCCTTGGTACCAGGTAGAATCGGCCAATGGTTGCCTTACAGTGGTTAGTTGAATTCCTTGGTACCAGGTAGAGTCGGCCAATGGTTGCCTTACAGTGGTTAGTTGAATTCCTTGGTACCAGGTAGAATCGGCCCATGGTTGCCTTACAGTGGTTAGATGAACTCTACCTTGGTCAAATGATACTTGACAAACTGTTCACACATGCACATCTACCACCAAAGTAAAGCCCACCCCCCCCCAAAAAAAAAACCAAAAACAGTGGCTGAATGCCAACAGTGGTTAGACCTGGCATAAAGTGGAAACACTGTATGTTTGGCACACTCCTTAGACACCAATCCTCTGTATTAGTGGCTGGGCTGTATGGTCTTGCTAGTTTATATGACATCATAATTCAGTATCCTATATCAGGTGTGAGAGTGTTAGGTTGGGTTTGTCAAGGTTAGTCAATAAGAATGGCATCTTTCATATTTGTGACAGGCAGGCAGTTTTACTTTGAATTGTTAAAAACATGTCACCATATTTTCTTTCTTTACTTGCCTTCTGCTTGCTTTGGATTTCCTCCTATTTTTGTTTTTGTTCACACAATAAAAGTGGAAGTCTTATTTGACCAGGAGACAAAGGAGAGACAAACAACTTAAAAGGAACAAATCCAGCAACGTCTCTGAAAGCAGTCAATCAATTGAAACGACTCCTAAATCAAAACAACCAAAGACAGAAAAGAACATTGATCAACATAAGGAAGCTTCGGCCAATCAGAGACCTGGATGTATACCACCTGTAATCCATGTTCATGTATACATAATGTGCATCTGTTTGTAAAGTGTAAAAATGACTGGTTGTCAAGACAAGAATCCTACCTATGTAAATGTCTGTATCAGAACGATAACATGATTAACCACTTCCTGCCGGGGACTCCGGAATCGAGGGCGTATGGTTTATATGCGTGGCCGGGGTCTCCGAACTCCGTTCTCTGAACAAAAGACCATGCTGCTGGGAATTACCGACATTTTTCACTCTCAAAAGTGGTGATAATCCAGCCTTGTTTTGAAACCGTATACCAGGGTTTGGGGCATTGAAAGTGAGCGGATTACCACTGGGGACAAAAGCGCTCCACCACCACAGCGATGAGCCACACAACACCGCTGCACGCTAATCCGGCCCCTATTGAAAAGAGGTCAGCAGTGCACTGAGCCAGGCCTGTGAACAAAAGATAGTTATACAACACCGCACAATCTGGGCTCTTTTTACAAAGCTGCAGGCCCCGCTGAAATACTTTGGCGTCAATGAAGGTCACCTGTCAACTTAGAGTAGTGCCTAAAGATTACTTCGTGCGGCTATAAACGATCGTTGAATGAAATGATGAATATTTGAAGGATTTTGAAAACAAAAAAAATGATTGTCATGCCGGCCCAGCATCATCAACATTGAAAATTGCCCCGGCATGAAGTGGTTAATCAATAAGAAAATGTCTTATGTAATGTGCCAATATTTTCAAATCCATGTACTTAATGTTGTGGGATATGTTTTTGTAGTATAGACATGTATGTGAGTTATGAAACAAACAATTTATACTCTGCATGCCTCTCGTATGTTGTAAGAATGAACATTCTGAAAAGAAAGTTCCCATGTTCTGCCAGTGGAACATCAGCATATGGTTCCTGACATCTATTTAATATTTAGTTGAAAGAATTTGAATTGAGTAGGACTTGACCTAGTAACCTTTCAAACACTGCATCAATTTTCCTCCCACCTGTGATTAATCTGTGTTTCTATAACTTCTAACCTTACATTGTCTTGATATGTGTATGTTGTGTGTGTGTATTCTGTGCTCTTAAACATTCAAATGCTGCCAAGAGCTGATTTGAAAGAACTCACAATAAGCCAAATTGTTAGCATGTAATCAACCTGTTATGACCTTGTGTGTTTTTGCAGGCTCCGCCCCCGCCCCCTCCTCCCCCAGGACCTGCTCCAGCACCTGTTCCACTGAGAGGTAAATTTGTAAGATTCTTTACAAGTCGACCCCTTTAGTTCAGCAGTAGCAACCACAGTGTTGCAACCACACATTTGCTTAGTCTTAGCAGATGGTGTTTGTCTCTATGACTTCAACACATTTCTGTGATACATGTTTTCATCCATCGTTAAGTGTGCACTGAAGGCAGAAATTATTTTGTATGAAAAGCTCTGCAGTGGATTGAAATAAGACACATTCTATAAGGTTTATTTTCCCACTTGTTTTACAAGCTATCATAATAGAAATCAGTATTATTTAAAGTTTACATTAGAAATGTAGTGGGACACCACAAGGAAGCCTGGACCCTTTGTGAAACGAAATGAGCACTGAGCATAGTGTGAAGATAGAGACAGAAGCAGCGTAATTATGTGTTGCTTACAACAGAACCTTGATTTATTGGTGGCCAGCTACTGTCATAGGCATCCTTAGAAGCTCGAGCCCAGAGGGACGAAAACCCCATTGCTGGGGGTTTCCTTGTGTACTACAATTTCACCATGGGACAATATGCTTTGTATGGACACAACAATGGGTGCCACTGACCTATGCTCTCCTTCTCAAATTGAAGCTCCACCGCAAGCCCAGGGAATGTTTGAGACCATGTCATATCACTGTCTAGTTATTCATATGCAGAAATGGTTTCTCACCAATTACACTACAGACAACATAAGCTTCGATTTTTACAGCATAAAATTGCTACATAATGCATGGGGTTATTGTCTTCTACAGTAATTTTGATACATCTAGCCAGTTGTCAAAAGTAATCTTAGAACAAACTATTTTCTTGTTGGATGTCTATTTACAAAGTTCAAGGTTATCAAACAATAAAAACTTGACACACAGATTTGCAAATAACCCAGAAACAGTGTAGATTAGCTCTGCCATCGTGCATATTCATATCAAGTTAGAATTAAAACAGTGAAGTTGCTCTTGCTGAAGCACGGTCCCCTCCATCAATGAAAAGATAGCTTGAGAGAAACTTAATGAATATGTCCATCAACATTTGGTTACCAAGCTGGTAAAGTTAAAAAACATCCCTGATCAGAGAAAAATATCTACTTTGCTGTCACATTCAATTTGCAGTCATTCTAAGAGAATATAGTGAAAGCCTTTCTGTCTATACTTTACTACTCTATTGATCTGAATAAAATTTGTTTTTTCTGTGCGATTCTGTCCATAAAATCCTTTTGGACCTTCAGAGAACAACAGCCTTGATTTTGCCACTCAGCTGAAGAACACACTCCGTAAGAAGGAGCTGCAGAGGAGAGGAGTTAATGGTAAGGTTGACCAGCTCAGTCGGGTTTTCAAACATGTACAGTGATGTACTTAGACGAATGCATTATTTTTTATTGTTTAAATTCAGTTATTTCAAACCAAAAATAACATACTAAGAAATGAAATAAAATATTGGATGGAGGGGGCCCCCCTACATGTCTAATCCCTATACACGCTAGACCATTGTTGCCTAACACATCCCTTCTAGATGTTTGAAAAGAATTCCTGAGATTCCGGTCAAACTGGCCAACACAAAGGGGGAGGGGTTTCTACGTCCCATATCTTGCTTCAAATATCTCTACCCCTTGCCCTAAGACAAATGCTGTCTTGTACTTTTACTTGGTCTAACAAAAGCTTTAAGCACAGCAGACATGGTGCAAGCCAGTGATCACCTTTCTGAAATTTCTAATTGAAGGGTTGTTTTTTAATTTTTTAAACAAATGTGTACAAAAATAGTGAAACTGTCACTAGTTGAAGCTCTGGAGATCAAAACTAACTTGAGATCATTTCAGAGATGAATTCTTGCTTCGCCTCTGGTTCCAAGGCACTAACCAACTGTTTGCTTTTCTCCCATTCATTCCCCTGCCCACATTTCTGTTGTTTTTCCATCATCTACTTACCACCTACCCTATCCTTATTTTATTTCCATTTCCAATGTTGTGTCTTATGTCCTTTTGAACACCTCTTGTAACCTCCTTCCACTTTCCTGTATCCTGTCTGTATTCTCCCTCTGTCCTTGTTACAATCCTTCCTGAAACCTCTCTGCATCCTTCCTACCATGGAAATCACCTGGCCTCCTCTGTGCATTCTTTCTGCATCCTCCCTGCATCCTCCCTGCATCCTCCCTGCATCCTCCCTGCATCCTCCCTGCATCCTCCCTGCATCCTCCCTGCATCCTCCCTGCATCCTCCCTGCATCCTCCCTCCATC